GCATAGTGAGAGCAGCTGAGAAGATCGTTGGTGCCTCTCTCCCCTCCCTCCAAGACATTTACAACACCCGTCTCACCTGCAAAGCCCTCTGCATTGCAGGTGATCCCACCCACCCAACACACAGCTTCTTCAGTCTGCTGCCATCGGGGAGGAGACTGCGGAGTCTCCAGGCCAGGACCAGCAGACTGAAGGACAGCTTCATCCATTAGGCTGTCAGGAAGCTGAACTCCCTCCGGACTGGTTTCTTAACAGAATGGACTCACAGTGGTAGGGATTGAGTCTGCGAGATGTTTCCCAAATTTGTTATGTACCTATGTACCATTTATTTAGTGTACACAAACTTGAATCACTGTTCAATATTTTTACAGTATCAAACACGCTCCTAGCATGGAAAGATGTTTTGAAGTATTTGAATATTCCACATATTTTATCTTCAAAATCTATTTCATTCAACCCTGACCTAACCTCTGCTATTCAGAACATTGGCTTTCGCTCATGGAGACCTTGACCTCGTCATGAATCTTGGAGTAAGACCAGTTATTTGACAGTGGCAGTCTAAAATCATTTCAGTTGTTAAAAAAGGAATTTAACTTACCTAATAATGATTTCTACAAGTTTCTGTAACTGCAACATTTCCTGGAATCAGTTCTAAAGGATGACAGAATACGTTTTGATCTTTTTGACATAGAGAAACAATAGTTTTCATCATTTTCTCTCAAAAGGAAGATTTCTGGTTTTTATAGTATGTTATCTAATGTTGAGACCTCCTCCTTTGATTCCCTGAAAGCGATATGGGAGAAAGACTTTGAAACTAATTTCAGTGATGAAGAATGGCTGTCGATCTGCTCTCGATATCAAACCATGAGCAAAATTTTAAGTTCTTTTATAGGGCTTATTTAACACTAGTCCGTCTTCACAAGATCTTTCCTAATGTTTCCCAATGTTGATTCAAATGTAAGTCTAATATTGGTACTGTGATGCACATATTCTGGGACTGTGAAATGATCAAGGCGTACTGGAAAGAAATACACAATGGTTCAGAAGATTATTGGTAAACCTTTTGATCTATCTCCAAGTATCTATCTCTTGAACTGTAAAGCTGAATTACGCCTCAGTCATAGTCTAGAACTTGTGTTAAATCTCTGTACTTATCTGGCGAGAAAATTTATACTTTTGATGTGGTCTACTCCTCATGTTCCTTCCACTAATATGTGGTTGAATCAAAACGCTACTTTTTTACCTTTGAATGAAACTGCTGGTTTCGTCTGGCCAGAGGAGAACGGCACACTATTTAGACACACAATTTCCCTGTTTAATACTGTAAAGCTGCTTTGGCACAATCTGCATTGTAAAAAGTGCTATATAAATAATGGTGACTTGACTTGTTGGTGGATTTCAGCTCGGCGTTCAACACTATCATTCCAAACCTCCTCCTGCCCAAATTAACTATCCTAGCTATCCGTGCCCACCTCCGTCTGTCAGTGGATCAACAGCTTCCTGACAGACAAGCAGCAGCTAGTAAAGCTGGGAAAATTCTCATCCAGCACCCATACGATCAGCACTGGCGCCCCCCAGGGTTGTGTTCTCTCACCACTGCTCTTCTTCCTGTACACCAATGACTGCACCTCTAAAGACCCCTCTGTTAAGTTCCTGAAGTTTGCAGACGACACCACACTTATCGGCCTCATTCAGGACGGTTACGAGTCTGCTTACAGACAGGAGTTTGAAGAGCTGGCTGTCTGGTGCAGTCTTAACAACCTGGAGCTGAACACGCTCACACGGGGGTCACATAACTGATGATGATTGGCTTAGGCAGAGTAAATTTCCATTGTTTGCCAACCAGAGGCAGAGTACTGCAGGTGTTCACACACAAGCACATGCACAGTTGCACACACCAACGACCAGGAGTAGGAGCGATGGCAAGTCCAACGAGTACAAAGGTAGTGTTCGCAAACTGGAAGTATAAGCACTACGTTTCCCTCATTGAAATGAAAGGCAACAATGTTTATGTAACGTGCAACTCATGCCCAGGAAGAAAGAGTCTCTCCATGTCGGTGGCAAGTAATTATAATCTAATGAAGCACCTCACATCATCACATGCCGCCACAAAATTTGTGGCTAAGAATGCAGGAGATAACGTGAGCTCAGCTACCAAAGGAGAAGTATAATTTATTTTTAGACTTGTTTGTTGGCCAGTTGTGGCCTGTGCAATAAATATTAAAAGTTCTAAACCATCTATTGTGTTATTGTGCAACTACATTAAAGATAATATTTACAAAAATATATTTATTGATAGGTGTCTCTCACATTGTCCCACACAGCAACATTAAAATAGTATGTATTAGTGTACAATGTTTTATAATGATAATTTATTCTATTTAGAGTCCATTTCATTCAACATATTTAATATCGGGGCATCCAAGTTATTTGACACATTTGAACATAAAAAAAAAAGTAACAATAGTTACTCTCCCTGGTAAATTAGTTACTTTTATAATGATGTAACTCAGTTACTAACAGTTACTATTTGTGAGAAGAAACTAGTAACTATAACCAATTACTTCTTTAAAGTAACATGGCCAACACTGCTAAAGATGCATCAAATAATTCAATGCAATTCTCACTATGCAGTTCGCAATTTTATTTATAATCAGTTACATTTTGCAGTAAGACAGAAATTTAATATTTTGATTCCAAGTTACCAGTAAACGGAACGGCGCAATGTCTCCATACAATCGAAATTAGAGCGCGTCTACTGTAATGTTTGAAACTATAGCAAAGGAGACAGGTGTGGATACAGGAAATCATTTATAGAAAAAAACAAATAGCCTCAAGACAAGTATAAAAAAAGTTAACAAAAACAACAAAATTTCAAACAGATGCCTATTTTCTTGTGCTATTTTGAATTGTAGGGCTGTTTTAAGCTTTCTCCACAAAGCACAAAAATACCGTCTAATTTTCATGACTTCTTAGGTGCATCTATCGGGTGTAATGTCAAAAGAAATGTATTACATTGATCACAGTTAATGGGCCTTTCTCCAGAGTGAATATGCTGGGGATTTTTAAAATGGCTTCTTTTGGTAAACCTCGTCAGTCACGGTCAGTTTTTTTGCAGAATGATCTTGAAAGGCCTCTCTCCAGTGTGAACTCCTATGTGTCTTCAGGTTTCCTTTGACTGTGAAACACTTTGCACAATGATGGCATATGAAATAGTTCTCCCGAGTGAAATCTCATGTGGGTTTCTTCACATGATTCCACACATATTTCATGTGAATCTTAAGATTTTCTATTTGTGGGATGCTCTTCCCACAGGCTTCTCTCGAGTGTGTTGTTTTTTAATGTGAGCATTGAGGCTACCTTTATGACTGAAACTCTTTCCACACTGATCACATTTACAGCATTTCTCTGCCGAATGAGTCTTCATGTGGTAATTAAGTCTTACCTTACATATGAAACGCTTTCCACACTGATCACATTTGAAGGGTTTCTTTCCAGTGTGAACCATCTTGTGACATTTGAGGCTAAATTCTGTTGTGAGGCTCTTTCCGCAAAGATCACATGTGAACACATTCTGTCCAGTGTGAATTCTCATGTGGTAATTACGGGAGTATGCATTTACGAAACTCTTTCCACAATACTTGCAAGAGTAAGGCTTCTCTTGAGTGTGAATTCTCATGTGGATTTTAAGGTTTTGTTTTGCAGGGAAACTCTTTCCACACTGTTCGCATGTATAAGGCTTCGCTCCAGTGTGAATGTTCATGTGAGATTGAAGGCTGCTTTTCTGTGTAAAACTCTTTCCACGCTGATGGCAAGTGTACGGTTTCTCTCCCGAGTGAGTTCTCATGTGTCTTTGAAGGT